TGGTCCATCCCACCGAGCTTGGAGGGAGTCTAGGTTGTGTCTCTTAATCCACACCCAATCACCGGGCTCCAAACGGTGAAGCAGATCCAGACCAGGAGGGATAGGCCTTGAATCCTGCTGGGCCCCGACAGCTTTTCGGAGGTATGATCAGAGACGCTGGAGGCCTGTAAAGAGCTAAGGTTATGGTTACTTATGGAGGTCAGTGCCTCTTGCCTTAATTTTGGCAATATTGGCAGGGAAAATCCATACATGATTTCAAAGGGGGTGATTCCCGCCCTGTAGGGAGTGCAGCGGGTCCACGGTAAGGCAAAGGGGAGTAGGCTAACCCAATTTTGGCCTGTCTCTAGATGCAATTCGGTCAGAGTTTCTTTTATGGTCTTATTCATTCTTTTAACCTGCCTGGAACTCTGAGGCCTATATGCACAATGCAACTTCTAAGTAATTTTTAATGCCTCAGCTACTGTTTTGGAGATCTGGGCGGTAAACGCTGTACCATTGTCGGACCCCAATGCTAGAGGGAGGCCAAATCGGGGGATTATCTTAGTGAGTAGGAACTTAGCCACTACCTGTTCTGTTTTTTTTAGTAGGGAAAGCTTTAGTCTAGCCTAAAAAAGTATCCACTGGTACAAGGAAGTGCCTGTACCCATACTTTTCCTGGTTTTATTTCAGTGAAGTCGAGCTCCCACTGTTCTCCAGGGCTTTGTCCCCTTTGGCGTTGTCTAATGAATCGGGGGTCTTAGCTCCATTTACTTTTACACAGGTTACACGACTAGCAATGTTCTTTGTTATTGCAGCCAGATTTGTAAGAAGAAAATGCCTGGACACAAGCTGCTGAAGTTTTGTAGCTCCTAGGTGAGTTCCCTGATGAAGGTGTTGTAAAAGCTCCTGCCCTATTGCCTCAGGGAGGAATATTCTGCCATCTGGAGTCTTTAGCCATCTATTTTTTTTTTTTTTTGGACACAATTTATCTCGGCCCCTACCCTTTGCTCCTCCTGGGAGTGAGTTGGTTTTGGGGGCAGGAGTCTTGCAGGCAAGACAGGCAAAACATCGATAGGCCCCACTGGTCTTTGGGCCGCTTCCTTGGCACTCTGGTCAGTAAACGTATTGCCCTTGGTTATGTCTGATTTATCTTTTTGGTGGCCCTGGCAATGGACAATTGCTACTGCTTTTGGAAGCCAAATGGCCTCTAACAGGGCCAGGATTTTTGCTTTGTTTTTTATTTCCTTGCACCCTGAGGTTAGGAGTCCCCCTTCCTGGTACAGAGCCCAGTGTACGTGTGCCGTTGTGAATGTGTTACCGGCTGTCTGTGTAGATATTGACAGTCTTTCTTTGGCCAGCCTTAAAGCCTGGGCCACGGCTAGTAGCTCTGCCCTTTGAGCTGAGGTGCCATCCCCTAATGCTTGTGCCCACAGTATCTCAGTCATGGTGGTGATCGCTGCTCCCGCCACTCTCACTCCATCCCGGATGAAACTGCTCCCATCCGTGAAGAGTTGCAGGTCAGCGTCTGGCAAGAGCTCATCTCGGAGGTCCGGCCTTAGGCTAGATAAGGCTTCTAGAACCTGTTTACATTCATGCACTGGCAAGGTGGGGTCATCATCAGGGAGAAGGGTGGCTGGGTTAAGGGCCGTGGTGTGTGAGAAACTCACCCGCTGGGGGTCCAGCAGGAGGACTTGATACTGGGTGATACGAGCGTTAGAAATCCACAGATCAGGAAGGCTTCGCAGTAGAGCTTTTACCGTGTGTGCCCCAGCAACCTGTAAGTCCTGTCCCAGAGTTAGTTTCTTTGCCTCTTTTACTAAAAGGGCTGTAGCCACAACAGCTCGGATACATCCCGGCCACCCAGAGGCTACGGGATCCAGCCGTTTGGATAAGTAGGCTACTGGTTGCCACCACGGTCCCAGTGTTTGGGTTAGAACCCCTTTGGCTATTCCTGGGGCCTCAGATACGAACAGCTGCAACGGCTTTGTGACATCTGGTAGTGCCAGAGCTGGTGCAGCAGTGAGAGCTGCTTTTAGCGCCTCAAAGGCTTGTTGTTCTTTTTCTGTCCACACCAAGGATGAGTCCTTGCCCCCAGTGCTGGAGTATAGGGGTTTGGCTAAGTCTGCGAACCCTGGAATCCACAGACAGCAATATCCCACTGCCCCAAAGAATTCTCTGACTTGCCTTTTGGTGGTGGGTACAGGTATCTGCAATATGGCTCGGATTCTGCTCTGAGAGAGGGCTCGATGTCCCCCAGTCAACTCATATCCCAGGTACGTTGCCGTCTGGGTGCAGAATTGAGCCTTTTTTGCTGACACCCTATAGCCCAACCTTTGTAACTCTTGCAGGAGACTCAGGGAGGCGTGCCGGCATTCCTCCTCAGTTTCAGTAGCTATCAGCAGGTCATCGACATACTGTAGCAAAGTGACCTCAGGGTGTCTTTCCCAGTACCCCTGTAGATCCCTACTTAAGGCCTCATCAAAGAAGGTTGGTGAGTTTTTGAACCCTTGGGGAAGGCATGTCCAGGTTAACTGCCCTGAATAACCTCCTTTAGCGTCTGTCCATTTGAATGCAAAAATCAGCTGACAAGTGGGGAGAGAAGCAAGGAGAAGAAAGCATCTTTGAGGTCTAGGACCTCCCAGTCGACCACCCTGTCAGGAGGAATGAAGCTCAGCAGAGTGTAGGGGTTGGGTACCATGGGGTGGATAGTTTCCACTCTCCGGTTTACCTCCCTCAGGTCCTGTACTGGCCGATAGTCATTAGTTCCAGGCTTTTTAACTGGTAACAGCAGGGTATTCCAGGCTGACTGATAGGGGATTAATATCCCTGGGTCCCTCAGGGGCTTGATGTGCACTGCTATGCCTTGTCGGTTGTCCAAAGAAATAGAATACTGGCGTACGCGCACTGGGCTTGCTATACTGCAGAGTTGCACCAAGATGGGTGGTTGGTGCTTTGGCAGCCTGGGGGGTTTGTTTCAGCCCATATGCCCAGGACTTGAGTCCTCCACTGTGCCAACAAGGCGGAGCTCCCTGAAGCCTCTGCGGCTTCCTCCTCAAACAGGACATGTTTCTCAGACAAGGGAGTTGAGTACAGGATGCACTGCGGGGTCTCAGGAAGAGATAGTGGTCCTTTCCGAACTGAAGGAGGTGGTGGCATGCAACTTTTCTAGCAGATCTCTCCCAAGCAGCGGGTATGGGCAGCCTGGCATAACTAGAAAGCAGTGTGTACTGACCCCTTTTCCTCAATCTGTGAGCCTGGCAGTAGTCCATGGATATATTTTGGGCTGCCCTGTTGCCCCCCCATGGGAATCCTGGTTTTGGTTAGTGGTCCCACAGCCTCTTTAAGGACGGAGAAGGTAGCTCCCGTATCAACAAAAAAGTCCGCAGGCCGGCCCTCTACCTTCAAGGTTATCATGGGCTCCCTGAGGGCCAAGAGGGTAGGAGCCCCGACCCCTTCATTGGGCACTTTCCAGGAGGACCTGGGCGAGCCTCTCCTTGGGCCTCCCCCTGTTGGGGCACTCGTTTTTTCCAATGCCCGAATTGCTTACAGACTGCACACTGGTCGCGGGCTAACGTTTTTCCTCTACGGGAGTGTCCTCCTGGGGGAGTTCTGCGGCTTCCTGGAGGTGGGCCTCCCTGTCTTTGGGGTGGCCTAGTTTCCTGCAGTGTGGCAATGACAACTCTTGCCGTCTTTTTAGTGGCTGCTACCTCAGCTGAGTCCCAGTTATTGAAGACCTTTTGAGCTATTTCCACTAACTCACTGAGATTTTTCCCTTTAAACCCATCTAATTTCTGCAACTTCCTCCTGATATCTGGGGCCGACTGGGATACAAAGGCAACATTAATAGCTCTACAGTTTTCAGGGGCCTCCGGGTCTATGGGGGTGTAAGTCCAGTAAGCCCTGAACAATCGCTCTAAGAACTGGGCCGGACTTTTCCCACTTTCCTAAGCCAATCCACTAACCTTAGACATATTTGTGGGCTTCCTACATGCTCCACAGAGGCCCAGCAACAGAGTCTGACAATATTGGGTCAGCGACCCCCTACCTTGGTCAGTGTTAGGGTCCCAGTCTGGTCTATGGTTGGGGAAGCGAGTCTCTATAAAGTCTGCATCGGATGCCGGCTGCCCATTTGGGCCAAGAATGGCTTTTCTCACCTCCCGGTTTATGCCCTCATGTTCTTCGGATGTGAAGAGAACCTGGAGGAGCTGCCGGCAATTGTCCTATGTGGGTTGGTGATTATGAAACACCGTTTCTAAGAAGGAAATGAGACCCTGTGGTTTTTCAGAAAATGGAGGGTTTGGGGCCTTCCAGTTATACAAATCACTGGTAGAGAATGGGGCATAAGCCATAAAAGGGCAGTCACTCCCGGGCAGAGGGGCCACCTGGCACAGTGGTAAGATAGCCCTGAGGTCTCCCAATGAGTCTGGCGAAGGGGGTTGGTGTCCCCTTCCACAGGTTCTTGGTGGACTACAAGGTGGTTCTGGGGTTGCTTCTCTCTCACCCTGGGCCTCTTGTCCCCTACCTAATTCTAGGGCCCTTCCCCCTCTCCCATCCTGCTCGTCTCCCCTGTCTTGGGCGGCCTCAGGGGGAGCATAAGGCGGAGGTCGCCATGGATCACACAGGGGGTCTTCACCATGCAATGGGAAGACGAGGGGGGCGGTTCAAGGTGGGGGAGGGGGGTCCCGTTGCGTCTTTAGAGACTTATCAGGGAACGGAGATGCTCTACGCCTGTTCCCTGGGGTCTGGCTGGAAGTGCCTGTGAATAAGACTTGAGAGGGTTTGACATCAACACACTTGGTTAGGTATTGGGGTCTTTCAATAGCTATGTCAATCCAGACATCGATATACGGAACTTAGTCTGGGTGACCTGGGTCACTATAGACCACTCGCCATATACTGAGTAGGAGGGATAAGTTGAAGGAGCCCTCTGTTGGCCAGTGAGTGCCAAAAGAAGGCCACTGTCATTCACATAAAATCCTAAGAGTGGGGGCATTGACCCTGCACCGTAATCCCTGACGCACCTGGAAAAGCTGAGAAGTTTTTCAGGAGACAGCCCAAGGGGGTTTTCTGAGCCGACGGACCCTGTCCCATCCTGAAAGCTGGCCGAAAGCGGGAGAGAATTTAGAAGTTAGATCGAGGAAGGGTTCCACTGGGACCCACAGGTGGGGAGTCCCACGTCCTGTCGTGGTCTGCAAAGGAAAAGATGGCGGTGGATTTCTCAGATGTTTAGGGGCTCTGGTCCAGAGGCTCCCAATCACTTCTTCTTTTTCTCACAGTAAAAACAACACAGTACTGGCCCCTGGGGGAGACGATCCCCCATTCTTGATCTCCCTTTCCCGACTTGAACAGAGCCGCAAGACAGACAAAGGAGGGGGAGTTTTTTTCTTTCAGGTGTCCGCCTGGCTGTGTCCCTCTTGGGAACTTAGGTGCGTCTTGGCTAAGGTGACCTGTACAAAGCCCTGCCCGGTCGCTCCCTATCACGGGGAGTGCATGGCCATTATGCCACACGCCGCCGCCACAGAACCACAGGTTAGGACCCACTCAGACCCCGTAGCCAAAGTCGTGGGCCACAGACTCAGTGGCCGTAAGCAGTCACCGAGTTGCTCTCACTCATGCATTCACACAGAGGTTAAACAATTCCTTCCCCCAATACCCTGTGATATCCACTACCATATCCTGACCTGGATATCCTTAGTGACGTCTCACAAGGATACCGGAGGTGACCCTTGTGCTGCGTCCAGCGGGTCCAGCCCCCAGAAAACTCTGTACAGAGACCTACTCACCAAGAGACGTCCCTCGTCCCGGCGCCACTGATCAATGGGGTCCCCAGTCTACTGCGGGGTGGAGGAACATCTCTCCGTGGCCTCCCTGCAGCCACTAGGGCCTGTCCCGATAGGATTTGCCCGGGAGGAGCCAAAACTCCTCCGGTCTGGGTCCGGTCAGCGGTTGATCTCACTGGGGCCTCCTAATGTTGTAAACCAGCAGATCAAGGGGACTCAGACACCAGAATCCAATCAGCCAAATTAGTTTATTGATACCTGCACAGGGGCTGTCACCACTCTATGCCAGGAGGGAGAAGCAGCCGGGAACAAAGCCTTTGTGGTTTTCTTATACCCTGGGGGCTGGCAGCTATGCAAGCGAGCAATCACAGAAGCAGAACTTTGTGGTTAGTCATTAATCAAGCGAACAATGGAAAGGTACACTGAGGGACAAGGGACTTTTCCTGGAACAGGACCTCTCTATTCTTTTTGGGAACAGGCCTCCTTGACTCCCGCCTCCCTCCTCTGGGAACTTCCTCTTGGAACTTCCTCTTGGAACTTTTACTAATAGTTAGAGCAAGACTGACTCCACTTTAGATTTACAGGAGCCATCTTTAGTCTATCTACTTCAAAATGTTATCCCCATGATTAAGCCACACATGACTATATTTTGAAAAAGAATAAGTTTAAGGACTCACACTTCCTAATTTCAAAACATATTACAATGCTACAGAAAACAAAATAGTGTGATACTGGTATAAAAACAGACCAATAGAATAGAAAGTCCCCAAATAAACCCTCACATACATGGTCAAGTAATCTTCAAAAAGGGTTCCAAGACCATTCAATGGGCAAGATAGTCTCTTCAAAAAAAGGTGTGTGGACGACTGGATATCCATATGCAAAAGAATGAAGCTGGACCCGTACTTTTCACTATATACAAAAATTAACTCAAAGCGGGCCAGATACAGTGTCACACCTATAGTCTCAGCACTTTGGGAGGCCAAGGCCAAAGGATCACCTGAGGCCAGGAGTTCAAGAACAGCCTAGGTAACACAGCAAGACCCCATTTCTACAAAAAATAAAAAATAAATAAATTAGCCAGGTGTGGTCACATATACCTATAATCCCAGCTACTCAGGAGGCTGAGGCATGAGGATTGCTTATGTCCAGGATTTCAAGGTTATAGTGAGCTATGATCATTGCCACTGCACTCCAGCCTTGGTGTCAGAGTGAAAGCTTATCTCAAAAAAATAATAATAATAATAATAATAATTCAAAATGGATGAAAGACCTGTATGTGACAGATAAAACTCTTAGAAGAAAACATGGGAGAAAAGCTCCATGACATTATATTTGGCAAAGATTTCTTGCCTGTTGACACTAAAAGCACAGGCAACAAAAGCAAAAATAGACAAATTAGACTACATCAAACGTAAAACCTTTCCTGTATCAAAGGAAACAATAGTAGAGAGAAAAGAAAACCTATGAATTGGATAAAATATTTGTAAATCATATATTTGATAAGGGGTTAATATTCCAAATCTATAAAGAACTCCTACAACTTAACAACAAAAAATAACTCACTTATAACATGGGCAAGGATCTGAATAGTCATTTCTCCAAAGAAGACAAACAAATGATCAAGAAGCATGTGAAAAGACATTCAACATCACTAATGATTCAGGAAATACAAATAGAAACCATGAGATAGTGCATTATACCCATTAGGATGGCCAATATCAAAAAAACCAAAACAAAACAAAACAAAAAAACAGAAAATGGCAAGTGTCAGTGCGGACATACAGAAACTGAAACCCTTGGGCACTGTTGACAAGATTATAAAATGGTCCATCCACTATGGAAAAAGGTATGGCAATTCCTCAAAATGAAGAAAATACAATATAAATTTATGTGCACTTTCCAAAATACTTAGAGTAAAAAATAGAAAATAGAATTAAGAGAATATTAACAAATCGATCATAACAGAGATTCAACCCCTCTCTCAATTATTGATGATCAAACCAAGAAAATTACTGACTTGAACAGCAGAACTGATATTCTGATCTATCCTAAATAGATGTGAGAGACACACCAAGTTTGCAGAAAGACACATACAAACATGTTAATATTCTCTAAAATGATATATAGGTTCAATGTAATCTCAATGAATTTTTTTTCTGTTTTTCATGTGTAGAATTTGACAAGGTGATTCTATGATATGAGAGCATCAGGGACCAAGAATAGCTATGACACCCCTGAAGGAAAGAACAGGGAGGGGGATCTGCCCTTACTGGCACAGAGACATTATTCTAAAGTGGAAGTAATTAAGACAGAACAGTACTGGTATGGACATAGGCAAATAGACAAATTAGACAGACATAAGAGAAAGCCTAGAGATAAGCCAAAGATGCATAGACACTTGGATTTATGACAAAGTGGACATTATATCACTGAGGACAAGATGAACAAGTAACAAATGGTCTTAGAACAACTGGTTATTCACAGAAAAAATAAATTGGATCCTTACTTCAAAACATACAGAAAAATTAATTCTAGGTAGATGAAAAGCATAATGTAAAAGACCAAACCACAAATCTTTTAGAAGATAATATCCAAGAACATCTTTATAAACTCAAGGTAGAAAAGGATATTTTAAACAAGACACAAAAATGCATTAACCATGAAGAAAATGACTGATGCACTTTTAAATCAAGAACTTTTCTGTTTATCAGAAAAAAGTCAAAAACAAGAGATATTATCTACAACAAACATAAAGGATTTGTATCTAGGATATGTAAAAAATCTAGGATGTAAAAGATAAAATAAAATCTCAGGAACCATTAAGAGAAAGGCAAATATTAATAACACAATAGGAAAATGGCAGCAAACATGAAAATATGTTCAATCTCATTATTATTCAGGAAATGAAAATTGAAACCACAATAAGGTATCATTTCCCATATACCAAGTTGGTGAAAATTTTAAATGCAGGTATCATCAAGTGTTAGAGCAGAGAATGAAGCCACATATCAAAGGAGTGTAAACATTATAGCAACAGTTACCTTCTAAAGTTGAACATGCGGCCAGGCGCAGTGGCTCACGCCTGTAATCCTAGCACTCTGGGAGGCCGAAGTGGGGGGGGGGGGTGAGGGGGGACTGCTCAAGGTCAGGAGTTCGAAACCACCCTGAGCAAGAGCGAGACCCTGTCTCTACTATAAATAGAAAGAAATTAATTGGCCAACTAACATATATATAGAAAAATTAGCCGGGCATGGTGGCGCATGCCTGTAGTCCCAGCTACTCAGGAAGCTGAGGCAGAAGGATTGCTTGAGCCCAGGAGTTTGAGGTTGCTGTAAGCTAGGATGACGCCATGGCACTCACTCTAGCCTGAGCAACAAAGCGAGACTTTGTCTCAAAAAAAATAAAATAAATAAAATAAAGTTGAACATGTGCAAACCCAATCACTCAGCAATCCATTCCAAGTACTAACTTAGCCTAAACCAGGAATTCTCAACCTCAGCAGTGGCATTTGGGGTGTGGGGCAGCAGAGAGGGGAGTTTGTCGGGATATGAGGCTGTCCTGCACATTCCAGGGTGTTTAGCAGCACATCTGACCACTATATACGAGATGCCACTAGCACCTTACTGCTCAGTTATGACAACCAAAAGTGTCTCCCTTCCTCCCACCTCCATCTCCTCCCCCTCACCTCTCTTGAGAACCACTGCCTTAGAGGAATTACTGTACCTGTGCACCAGGAGACCCTCACAAAAACGCTCACTGCAACTGTGTTTACTTATAAGTAGCAGAAAACTAAAGACAGCCCAAGTGGCCATCAATAGAATGGATGCTATGGAATACAACAGAGAAAGTGAATGAAGAACTTCAGCAACACCTCCCATGAATAAATCTCAAAAACACATTGTGCAAGAAAACATAAAACTTCCTTTATGATTTCATTTGATAAGGGCCAAAAAGTTAAGCAAAACTAAAAATATATTATCTGAAGATACATACATATACCTAGTAAAACTATAAAGAAAATCAAGGAAATGATTAAGAGGAACTTCAGGATAGTAGTTACCTTTGCAGAAAAAAGATATAATTGTGAAATTAATTCACAATGAATAAAAGACTTAAACCTAAGGCAGCAAACTATAAGAATTCCAGAAGAAAATGTTGGAAAAACTCTTACAGATACAGGCATAGGCAAAGAATATATGAAGACCACCCCAAAAACAATCACAGCAACAAGAAAAATAAATAAATGGGACCTGATCCCATTTAAAAAGCTTCTCCACAGCCAAGGAAACAATCAATAGAGCAAACAGACAATCTACAGAATGGAAGAAAATATTTGCATGCTATGGATCCGATAAAGGGCTGATAACCACAATCTACAAAGAACTCAAGCAAATCAGCAAGAAAAAAATCAAACAGTCCCATTAAAAACTGGCCAAGACATGAGCTGAAACTTTTCAAAAGAAGATAGACTAATGGCCAACAAACACATGAAAAAAATGCTCAACATCTCTAATCATCAAGGAAATGCAAATCAAAACCACAATGAGATATCACCTAACTCCAGTAAGAATGGCCTGTATCAAAAAGTCCCAAAACAACAGATGCTAGCCAGGATGCAGAGAGAAAGGTACACTTACACAGTCTTGGTGGGACTTCAAACTAGTACAACCTCTATGGAATATAGTATGGAGATACTTCAAAGAACTAAAAGTAAACCTATCATTTGATCTAGCAATCCTACTACTGGGTATTTACCCAAAAGAAAAAAAATTATGAAAAAGATACTTGCACTTGAATGTTTATAGCAACACAATTCACAATTGCAAAGATGTGGAAACAACCCCAGTGCCCATCAATACATAAGCAGATTAATAAAATGTGGTATATGTATACTATGGAGCACTACCCAGCTATTAAAAAAATGATGATGATCTGGTATCTTTGGTAACAACCTAGATGGAATTGGAACTTGTAATACTTCTTTCTCAGTGAAATATCATAAGAATGGAAAAACAAACACCGCATCTACTCAGTACTAAATTGGAACTGATCAACACTTAGGTGCACATATATAAGTAAAATTCAAGGGAAATAAGTAGGGAGGAGGAGAAAGGTGGGGATGAGTAAATTCACACTTAATGGGTACAGTGCATACCGTCCCCAGGGGCATGGAACTGTGGCCCCAGCCAGTGCTTAGTCCCGCCCCTCCGGCCCGGCTCCGCCTCCACCCCTTTAGCCAGTCCCCGCCCAGCCCCGCCCTCACTCTGACCCCACCCATCTCACCCCGCCCTAGTCCCACCCACCCGGCTCCGCCTCCCCATCCATAGCAGGAGCGCCCCCTTGCGGCCCTCAGAGGCATACTGACTGAAGAGAACACAAATTTGACTCAAACTGTACAAAAGCAAAGTAGGTAACCATAATGTATGTACCCCCATAAAATTCTGAAATGAAAAAAAAGATGCAATTGTGGCAGACATACGGAGGTACCTAAGGCTTTGATAAGAAGGTTCTATTTCTTAAACTGAGTACAATATTCAGAGTTGCTTCATAAGTATTTAAACTGTTCCTGTGCATTTTATATATTTTGGTATATATGTTTTACATACTCACATAACACACACAGAGGCACAGGGGCACTTGCAAAGAAACACCTTAGCAAATATTCTCGAGCTGACCCAGTCAAGTGCCTAATGAGAAGATTGCTACTCTGTAGTGATGAAGGAGTCACAGACAAAAGACATTCATCTGTAGTGTTCCAGAGCACACATGTCTTGCACAGCTGGAAGAAAATTAGAAGTCATCTCCCCACTCAACAGTCTGTACCATTATAAAGCAACTCCTCATGGAATCCTTGTAAAATTATATACCTGAATTTTCTCAAAGTCCAGCCAGTCTGTAACCCAACTTCTACACAAAGGGTCTCTGACCACTACCTCTGGTCAGCTTGATGTCACACTTCCTCTGCCTTGTGAGAAAAGCTCATCACCTGACTAGACTGTAAGCTCCAGGAATCACAGACACAAGTCTCCACAAGTGCCCTCAGTGAATCCAGGTATGTGGCCGTGATGTCATGGGGTGCCAGCCTTCCTTCTGTTCTGATCTTCCTTGGCACTAACACAGGCTTGCTGCAGGTAGAAGCCAGGTGTGTGAGGTGTGGGAAAAAGATCTTGGTCCTTCAACTCCCCCAACCCCCATTCGTAAGTCAGTAGCCCAGTAAAAATGTGCAATATAGAGTCATCAGTGACAAGGTGACTTTACCAAGTCACTTACCTTCTCTGTGCTCGTCTCCTTACCAGTAAAATGGGATTATCATGGTACCTACCCCTCATTAGTTTGTGAAAACAATGAGAGTCAATATGTGTAAAGCACACACAACAGGCCTGACTTCACAAGTGTTAGTTATCATTTCAAATCCACAACCCCTCACTCACAATCCCAAAAGCCAAAAATGCTTGGGAAAATGGCATGTCTTTTTTCTAAAATTTTGCAACAAACTCTTTGGCAGCAAAACCTGAACTGATCTAAGCCTCTTTATAATCTCTAATTCTGTTAATACTTACTATAGATATCCATACATTTTGCTGTAGAAATTATAGGTTTGATTAAGGGGTGCTTCAGAATGACTTTGATAAAATTCAGACATTCTGACTTCTTCCCCATGTCCAGCCAGGTTTGGGTCAGGGAGCCTGACCTGTGTTACCACTTCACAGCTGCTCTGCCTCTCAGCAGCTCATCACTGTTTCCTCTTCTGTGCCTTAGGCTGGTCCCATCCACTTGCCAAGATCCAGACAGACAGCCTCCAACTCGTCATTCCAGCACCAGACTATCCTGAGGGTCTGCAGAGAACCTTATAGGGTCACAAAACAATTATACTCTGAAATAAAATCAAGGCCCACTCACAGCCTGGCTCCTAGCCTTGCCTGGTCCCACCTCAGCTCAGGCCACCCCATCCCCTGCAATGTCCTTCTCCATCCAGCGAGCTTCCCATTACAGGCTCCTCTATCACAGCTTTCAGCAAGACAGACTGAAATGACCCATCTTCAAATCAACCCTATCTTTGTATTCCCATAAACCAACATGGCTTCTGGTATACAAGAGACATTCACTCAATAAATACTTGCTGAACCAAACTATTCGTGCCACTGAGCAAACAGACACATTCCAGGGTACTTCATCCACCTCAACCTACAGCAGGTCTTCACTTTTTAGCTTCAAGACAGCTATTTTAATAAGAACTAGAAATTCTTAAAATATGATTGACCCTAGCCAAAATTTAGACCTAAAAGATTCTCTGAAACCATGCATGGGAAATGTCTGTCAATGGAGGGTCTACTACAGTGAACTCAGCCAGGTCAGAATTGGATAACCAGACACAATACTGAGCAGAAATCCATTCTCCCTTTGACTGTGCTCCCCAGGCCCTCCATCCTCTCACATGTGGCTCCTCCATCCTTCTTGCCCCACCTGAGAGAACTGACAGAAAAATAAGAGGTGGGTAACCAGTGCCCTACAGGCTAAGCAAACTCCCAAAGGGAACAGTGTATAGACAGAGGCTGTTGGGCACCCATAGTAAGTGCCCTTCCTTTGGCAAACATCTGAAGTATCTACCGGGCACAAGGCACATAGGTATGATATTTCTGCAATGACAGGGCCACCAAGGAGACGAGATGGGAGAGATCAGGACCAAAAATGGAACCTGGACCCAGTCAGGGAGGTATTTTTTGGCCTCTTACAAAAAGAGTAAGAATTCCCTGAGTAAACAAGGAACAGCATCCCAGACAAAAGGAACAGCACATGAGGGGAAAGCAAAGCCAGTTAGGCCAGACTGGGGAACTTAAGGGAGATAAGGTACAAGAAGAGCCTGGACCAACCATGCACAGCCTCGAAGGCCCCATTAAGGAGGCCTGTCTTTATCCTAAGAACAGTGAAAAATCAAAAAAATATTATAGGCAAAGCATAACTTAATGAGGTTTGCATTTTAACAAGCTTATTCTGACTGCAGTGTGGACAACCAACAGAAGGCACCAAAGCAGGTGCAGGGACATGGACAGAAAGGCTACTGCATGATGGTGGTGCCTATGGAGAAAAATGGGCAAACCTAAGAGATTAAAAAAGTAAAACCAACAACTCTGGATAATTGTGGGAGGAGACAAGAGGGGAAGTCTGATCAGAGAGGCCTCAGCTCTTATGGCTAGAGCACTAGGAGAAGGAACAGAGGGTAGTCACCTGTGCCAAAGCTGCCCAGAGGCCCAGGTAGATAGTCACAACTGGCCCAGGCACCCAGCAAAGAAAAAGCACATTGATTTAAGACTCGGAGCTCCCAGGTCTGAAGAGTCTTGGGAAAGGGGGGAGGAAGGGGGTATCTGATGTTTAAAATGTAAACATTCCAGGGAGACAGAACAACTAAACGCAACTAAATCCTGTCTTGGACCCTATACCACAAAAAGGCAATAGGTGAGACAAACAGAGACATAAATAATGCCTACAGATGTGGGTGTCCTGGTTTTGCTGATTGTTCTGTTAAATAAATGTTAACACCTAGGAAATCTGGATGAGGTGTATATGGAAGTTTTTGTACTAACCTCAAGATAAAAAGTTATTTTTAAAAAGACATTTTATAAATGTAAATGTCCAAAAGCTGTGCCAGATGCAAAATGCCTCAAGAAAGGTCTTTGTGAGATACGGGAGTACCCTCCCTTCTCCTCATCTCAATTTCTAAAGAGATGAAGGGAAAACAAAGACCCTCAGAAACCTCAACCATTTCCCAAAGAAAGGTCTAAGCGCAGAAAGTCATAGATACTCAAGCCGCTACACGGTCCCGAGAGGAGCCGTCCTGCCGCCAGGGGCATGCAATTGTCGCTCAAGCCTCCGCTTAGTCCCGCCCCTCTGGCCCGGCCCCGCCCCCACCCACCCTATTTTAGCCAGTCCCCGCCCAGCCCCGCCCTCACTCTGACCCCGCCCGTCTTGCCCCGCCCTGGTCCCACCCACCCGGCTCCGCCCCCCATCCGTAGAGGGAGCGCCCCCTTGCGGCTCTCAGAGGCCTATTGTCCCTCTCTCGGTCCCGCCAGGGCCCATCGTCAGCGTGCGGCAATGACGGACGCCTAGGGCGCCGTTGAGAAAATGCAACCTCAGGGCCCGCCGCTCTTGCACACAAGCGAAGCCCTGCCTGCGGCACGAGCAGGCAACGCCTACCTGCGCTGACCTAGCCGGACGCGGAGCTGAGGGCCGAACCAGGGCGCCGCGAGTGGCCTAGCTTAGGGCGTCGCAGCCGCGCAACGTCCGGCAGGAGAGCTCTCGCGGCGCCTCGCCGTCTGCCCGCCACGCCCCCGCCACGCCCCGGTCCCCAGCGACCACCGAGACTCCGGGACCTCCGCACGCCTAGAGAAAACCCGGAAGTGCTCTGTCGGCAGCCAGAACACAAAATAGTTCCACCACCGCAGGGCCGGCCTGTCCCACCACTTACCTATCCTGGCCTCCTCTGTAAGCTTTCCTCGCTCCTAATTGGGAGAGCACGGAGAGTTTCTCTCTCTGGGATGGTAGTTCTTAATTGTAGCCCCAAACTAACAACAACATCTCCTAGGAAACTGATAGAAATGCAAATCCTGAAACCCCCTCAGTCCAACTGAGAAGCTCTGAGGGTGGGCCCAACCGTCTGTGCCTTGTAAGCCCTGGAGGTGGGTGTGATACACACTAGGGTTTGAGAACTGCTGTATAGTTGGGTTTCTCAACCTCCGCGCTCTTGACAATTTGGCCTGGATAATTCTTTGTTATGGGAGACTGTCCTGTGCATTACGGTCGCTTGACAAAACACAGTTAAATTTAAATTTCAGATAATTTTGTTGATCTAAAATTCAGATTTAACTGGGAGTCCCTGTATTTCGTCTGGTGACCTTGCCTACCTCTATCTTTACTTGCTGAAAATACAAGCCAGTTGTAGGATATTGAGCATCCCTGACTACTGGAGGCCAGTAGCACACCACACTCCCTCCACTCCAGTTATGACAACTAAAAATGTTTCCCCCATCCCCCGAGAATCACTGCTCTGTAAGGACTTTGTCCCTATGAAACCTGCCAGCCCGTTAGGAATATAGGATAGTGTACTCCACAGAAAACGGTTCCTTGCCCTTGAAGACTTTGTCTAAACACAAAAATCCTTAGGACCAAACCATGTTGACATGCAAAAAGAAGGTCACGTAATGATGATTTTGTATTTGCTTCTCTCCACCCTGGCACTTCACAGAGGTTTTTAGGTTAGTGTAAAGTGTGTTCTAAAACATATGCGTCAGCAGGGCGTGGTGGCTCACGCCTGTAATCCCAGCACTCTGGGAGGCCAAGGCTGGCGGATTGCTGGAGGTCAGGAGTTTGAAACCAGCCTCAGCAAGAGCAAGACCCCGTCTATACTAAAAATAGAAACAAATTAATTGGCTAACCAAAAATATATAGAAAAAATTAGCCAGGCCCGGTGGCGCGTGCCTGTAGTCCCAGCTGCTAGGGAGGCTGAAGCAGGAGGATTGCTTGAGCCCAGGAGTTTGAGGTTGCTGTGAGCTAGGCTGACACCACGGCACTCCTAGCCCGGGCCCAGAGCAACCGACTCCGTCTTCTTCTGTCCTGAAAAAAAGAGAGGAGGGAGGGAGAACAAGACAGACAAAAACCACCAATATTGTCGTACTATACTTCATGGTCACGAGGAAGAACAAACTGAGAAATAACAATAATGCCCATTTGTGAGACTCTGGAACCAAGGGCACATTTAAGTTCCACAAGCAAATTAGAAGGGGATAGAAGATGAGCCCTGGGAAGACCGCGGGGGGGGGGGGGGGGGTGCTTTTTGTATAAGGTAGGGCAGTGTTTCCTAGCTAGCTTTGTTCCCCAGAACCAGTGTCTCATTCATTCATTTAGTCGTTCAATAAGTGTTTAATGAGTGTCCACTCTGTGACAGTTGCTGCTCTAGACACTGCTGTTAGAACAATGAAAAAAAGAGACAAAGAAAAACACTCTTGCCTTCATGATGCTTAAATTCCAGTAAAAGAAACAAATAAACAAGTGAAATATACGGTATATCAATGTGGAAAGTGCTATGGAGAAAAAATAAAGCAAGCAACAGAGATAAATAATTGGGAGAAGACTATTGTGAGTCCAGTTTTAAATAATTTGGTCAGGGAAGGTCTCAGTGAGAAGGCTGTATTTTAGGGAAACACCAAAAAATTTGAAGAGAAAATTCCCCACGCAGAATTCAAGAGGAGAAATATTTGAAGCAGAAAGAATAGCATATGCAAACGCTCTGATGTGGGAGCAAGTTTGCTCCACCTTTGAGGAACCATATGGCTGCAGCTGAGTGAGGAGAGTCAAAGAAATAAGGTCAGAGAGATGAGTTGTAATGAGTTACATTACATATGTAATGTGTATACATATGTAGTGTGCTTGATATCTGCTTCTTCTGGACCTTAATCTAGAGAGAATTCTCACTGCAATGTGGATACTTGCATATGTATTCTATTAAAAGTTAATAAAAGAGTCAGGACCAAGTCTAAGTATTTACAGAGCTCATCTAGACTTTTCAGTATGTTGCCTTGAATTAAGCTACATTTTAAAATTTCAAGTCAAATCTTTTGAAAAGAATTTCAAACTTTGGGTAGAAAGGCAGTGGTCGAAGTTCATAATAGGAACTGGAAAAAATGCAGCCCATTAAGCCAGAATTCTTTGAAATATATATATATTGAAATTGTCTTTAATTTCAGGGATTTTAGGTGAGATAGCCCTCAAGAACCAGGTACCGGGTAGTTTCAAGCCAGAACCCCACCCCCCCCATAATTAATGAACCCAGGATAAAAGGAGGGGCATTACTCAAGATATTGCTGGTTTCTTGAAGCTCATAGGTTAAGCAATGATGCTGGAGGTAATATGTGTGCTGATGAAGATAGAATTGATTAGGTGCACTATGTATGGCTGAGGATTTAATATCCTGCATAAAGTTAAGAATTACTGTTGTCCATGGGGACCATAAATGTATGTATGGTTGGGTGAGTCAGGGATATCCAGAGAAACAGAAATAATAGGAGACATATAGAGAAATTTATTATGAATAATTGGCTCAAAAGATTATGGAGGCTAAGAAATCTCACAATGTGCTGTCTACAAGCTGAAGACCCAGGAAAGCCAGTGGTGTAATTCCAGTCCAAGTCCAAAGGCCTGAGAACCGGGGTAGCCTATGGTGCAAGTCCCAGTCCAAGGGAAAGGAAAGAGCAAATACCTTAGTTCATGCAGGTGGGGCAGGAAGCAAAAGGGGTGAATTCCTCCTTCATCCACCTTTTGTTCTAGGCAGGCCTTCAACTGATTGGATGATGCCCTCCCACAAAGCAGAAAGCAATCCATCTTACTGACTCCAACAATTCAAAGGCTAATGTCATCTGGAAACATCCTCACAGATATACCCAGAATAATGTTTGATCTAGGCACCCCTTGGCCCAGTCAAGTAGATAACCATCACAATGATGAATATCAAGAATACAATGTACATGCTTATATTAATGTACTCCATATTTATGTGTGATGATATATAGTATATACTATGTAAAATTAAGCACATATAATACAAATACAAATAACAATGGAGAAAGGCACTAAACAAACCATGAACAGAGGAGTAAGTTATTCTTTTCCATGTTTTCAATACTGACATAGCAGATGAAAAGAGTTGAAATGAATATAAAGAATTCATCCATTTTTTAGCATATGTCCCTTATACTGAAAAAGTATTTATTTCTCTTAAATTCATATGTAATTGAGAGTTCTACAGCCCATAGCATGTAGCGCCCTTACCTTTCAGTAAAGACATGACAGCGATGAGGTCTCCAGCTTCTGTGTTGGCAATAGACAAAAATGGGCAAGGCCAGATGCAGGGAGAAAAGAAGAGAAGCTGGAAGGCTGCAGAGATATCCAGACATGGGCTGAGGGTAGAGGTGGAGGTGCTGAGAAATGGTTGGATTGGGATATACTTTGAAGGTAGATCTGATGGCATTTGCTGACGTGAGTGCAAGAAAGGAGTCCTAGATGGTTTCTGGTTTTCGACTTGAGCAAAACTGGAAGTGTGCCATTAGCTGACACAAGGAAGGTGGTCATTGGAGGAGCAGATTGGGTCTAGGGTGGGCAGAGATCAGAATGTGTGGTGTGTTGTGGGGTGGAGGGTGTAGTGTGTGGTATATGTGTGATGTGTGTGGAATGTATGGCGTGTAGTGTGTGTGTGTACAATGCCTGTAGTGTGTGTGGTACATCAGTATGAGTGGACTGGGATTACTCCCATGGCCCTTGGGCTGGTGAGAGGCCACATGCTGTGTGGTGAATAGACAGGAACCAGGTAGCCCAGACTTGAATCCTGACACGGCCTCTTAGGAACTTTGTGACCTTGGGTAAGTCTCTTCATCTCATTGGGTCTCAATTTCTTTACGTAAAAATTGTGAACACAATAATAGTATTTATCTCATAGGTTTGTTGTAAGAAGTAACAGAAAACAATATTAAATGGAAAACATTTAGTGCAGCATCCAGCTCAGTGTCATTTATTCATGTTATTAATGTTTTTATCATTCTTGTTATTGTTGTTTTATTATAACAGGGTCGAAATTGTTTGAGAAACACTTATAGCCCAGGATTGATGAAGCCAAAACCAGTGTTTTGCATCAAGCCAGCCCCTCACCCAGGCTGGAACATTCTAGTGGTTGTAGCATGTTTTGCCTCCACCATCTCTTAACTCAAAATGTGTGTTTGCTAATCAATAGATTAAGATTATCACTAACAAGATGAATTAACAGCATATACCCCCAGATGTGACACTCTAGGGAGCACAGAACATCACT